AAATAGCCAGGCATGGTGATGAACAATAATAATTCCAGAAATTTGGGAGGCTGAGGCAGGAAGATCCAAAGTTAGAGGCCAGCCTCAACAATTAGCAAAGCTTCAAGCAACTTATTGAAACCCTGGGGAGGTAGCTTGGTGGTAGAGCCACCCTAGGTTCAATTCCCAGTACTCCCCAGCAAAAAAAGGAAAGAAAGAAATTACCATTGTGTTGAGGCAGAGCCCTCATAGATGGGTTGATAATATAAGGCTAATTATAATTTTCACTGCCTTTATTTGAAGACCAAACTTAAAAGGTTCCCAAGGGTAGGATTCTTTTTATTAATCCAACCCTAAACTTGGGCAGAATAAACTCAGTATTCAGTTCCAGTTCCTTCATCCAGCTTGGGTAGTATAAGAAAGCTGCATTTCTTCTGGCAGTTAACTTTGTACAGTGGAAAGATATGTCCAAACACCTCTGATTTCCAGGCAAGTCTACTAACCCAAGGCGACTTCTAGAGAGTTCTGCTATTGACTGCCATTGGGAAGATGAGAGAGGAGCGTGTGTGTTGTTTTTTAGTATTTCACATTGGAAAGAGCAAATGTAGGCATTTAACATCCTCAGCTCCTTAGTGCACCTTTGAAGTAGTTATTGTAGGAAGGGGTCCCCCCTTCCCCCTTGTCTTTTCTTTTTCAATAATGGGGATTGAACCCAGGATACTCTACTACTGACTTGCATCCCAGTCCCACTTTTTTTTTAAAAAAAAGTTGTTTTTTTTCTTTTTATTTTGAGACAGGTTCTAGCTAGGTTTCTGAGGTCGGCTTCAAACTTATTATCCTTCTCCTAAACTTCCTAGATGCTGGGATGATAGACATGTGCCACTGGCGCCTGGCTTCTTGAAAAGATATGCAAATAGTCTGTTACTCATGCAGAATAATGGACCATACCAAATAAATACGAGGAATGCTTATTGAGGAATGCTTATTTCTTTCCTCCCAGTTTTTTCTTTTCTTTTAAACTTTTTTTTTTTTCTGTTTTTGGCCTGAGAAAACAGACTTATAAAATAAATGCTGCTGCTTCTTTTCAATACTGCTAAGATATTATAGGTTAATAACTGTGTATGTTAATAAAATTTGGGTTTAAGATGATTCACCTTTAAGAATGCAATAGGATATGTATAATATGTACATTCTACTAACCGGCATGGTGGCATACACCTGTAATCCCAGTGGCTCCGGAGGCTGAGACAGGAGAATCTTGAGTTCAAAGTTAGCCTCAGCAATGGCGAGGTGCTAAGCAACTCAGTGAGACCCTGTCTCTAAATAAAATACAAAATAGGGCTGGGGATGTGGCTCAGTGGCTAAGTGCCCTAGGGTTCAATCCTCAGTACAAAAAAAAAAAAAAAGAACAATAACATACTGTGGTACTATGGTCACAAATATTACCACATTAGGCATCATCAGTCCTTTATCTACCATTTATTCTTCTCATTACTACCTTTTGGTTTTTTAAATATTTGTTAAGTGCTTATAGGGAGAAAGAAGCAAGAGCACACTAGGACAAATTTTTTTTTTTTTTTTTTTGCTTAGCATCTCGCCATTGCTGAGGTTATCTTTGAACTAGAGATCT